TCATCTCCTACTATGTCTGATCTTGAAAACGTTTTATTTCGCTGGATCTTACGGGTCCATTATCCAAATTAGGGCTGTTTGCTCGACTCCTCTTTCGATCAGGCTGGGCTTCTGGATGGTTCCGAGAAGGATCAGCCTGCAATCCTCCGCCACCCTGCTTTTTACTAGTATTAGCTTTTCTCACACCTGATGAGTTGCTGGCACATCAGTGGTTCCCTTGTAGTCACCTTTTACGACAGGTAGGGACTACCGTGGGGATATTCTTTATACATCCGTACCCCACACGGGGTTTATTATTATTATTACCATTATCATCATTCAAATTTTTTCTCGGATTCAACCGGTTTCTCCCTAGGTAGACGGGTGGGTACCAAGTCTACTTAGTGAAATTACTACCTACTTGAGGAAAGTTCGGGCTATATTGCCTGTTTTTAGTATTATGGCTTTCTGTATGTACTCATTTATAACTGTTTCTAGCTGCAGATGTTTTAGATGTTGAGTGAATGCTTTATGTGTTATGCCTGTTGCGGACATTATACATGGTATGATGTGGACTTTTTTCTGTTTCCAAATTCTTTCAACTGCCATTGCCAAGGGCGTATATTTTTCGATTTTTTCTGCGTACTTTTTGCTGATGTTCTTATCTGTAGGTATTGCTATGTCTATTAGATATGTGTATTGATTTACCTTATCTATCAGAGTGAGATCTGGTCTGTTTTGCTGTACAGTTTTGTCCGTGCATATATCTATATGGTGTTTCTGTGGTGATTAGGCCATATTTATGGGCCAATGCTTGGTGTATTACTTTAACGGCAATGTTGTGTCTATCTGTGTATGACGTGCCTGCCAGTATTTTACATCCTCCTACTACATGATCAATAGTTTCCTGGTGTTGGTGGCATTTTCTACATAAGTCGCTTATCTCTGTATTTTTCAATATATACTTCTGGTAGTTCCTCGTAGCTATCACCTGATCTTGTATGGCGAGTATAAATCCTTCTGTTTCTGGGTAGAGTTGTCCTTTCTGTAGCCATCTATGATTCTTGTTTTTGAATCTGTTCGTTGTTCATGATGTACAAGTGTTTTCCGTGTAGCTTCTTTTGTGACCATTCCTCCATTCTCTGTTGTTGTGTTTGTATTTGTTGTGATTGAGTTTCAGACTGAGAGAGGTTAAGTGGTGTATATTCTTTATCTGATTGCACGACTGCTGAGTGTAATGAAGTTTGCTTGCTGTGTAAATATTCTCTGAGGGTTTGTATCTGCTTTGCATGGAGTACGTGAATGTCTACTAGCCCTCTCCCGCCTTCTCTCCTGCTTATTGTGATTCTCTCTTTACATGAGTTTGGGTGTAGTTTCCTATTCCTCGTCAGCTCAGATCGTATGAGAATGTTTATGTTTTCCAGGTCTGTTTTTGTCCATTCAATTATTCCGAAGGAATATGTAGGTAAGTAGCGGGATGGCAAACGTGTTGATAGCTTTGAACAGATTCCTTGAGTTTAATTTTGTATTTAGTATTAGAGTTAAACGATTCTTGAACTCCTTAGTTAGATGTTTTTTTATGGTCATGTGATCTATTCTTGTGTTCTGTTGATATCCCAGAGATTTATATAATTCATCAATTTGCATGTTATCAAGCTTTTCATTGTTTAGTGTTTCTGTGTCCACTTCGTCCTTCCATTTACCCCTCTCTATATGTAATGTTTCGCATTTGCTGATTCCGAATTCCATTCCTGTCTGTTGTAACTTTTTCCGTTATTCGCAGTAATTCCTTCATTTGTGTCTGTGTTGGTGCATATATGTTGATGTCGTCCATATAAAGCAGATGGTTAATTCTGTGTTTTACTCTGCTTTGGTGTTTAATCTGGAAGCCGCATTTTATGTTATTCAGTGTGTTGGAGAGTGGGTTGAGGCACAGACAGAACAAAAGTGCACTCAGAGAGTCTCCTTGGAAGATTCCCTTTTTTATATTAATGTTTTCTGTTTTTAGTTGTTCCGTTCCTGTTGTTAAATATATGTTTGTTCTCCAGGTGTTCCTGATGGTTGACAAAGAGTTTCTCATAACTGGATGTATTTTATAAATTTGTAGCAGCTTGTTTAACCATGAATGTAGTACAGAGTCGAACGCTTCTTTGTAATCTATGTAACATGCTATAAGATTTCTTTGTTGATTTTCTGTTTGTTTCATTATTATGGAGTCTATAATTAGTTGTTCCTTACAATCTTGACTGTTTTTTATTATTATTTTTATTATTCTTATTATTATTTTTATTATTAAATTTATCCGAATTTCGCCCAGAATTATTTAGCAAGGTACGACATCTGTCCATAAACGATCCACCCATCTGGGGTTCAATTCCTTACGAAGGTTTTTTATTCATCTTTGAGAAGCTTTTATCCATCTAATTGTGTCACCCTTATACATACGTAAATCACACTATAATATGCTTGTTTGCGTCTTCAAGCGAAATGTTTAGGCGGATGTCAGCGTCCTAAAAATTGCGAAATTTATAGGAGACGCGAAAACACGTTGTGCACAAATTGGTGGGCGTATAAGAAAACATTATAGTACACTTACTTTGTCTCTTAGTACCTACCTAATCATAAATATAAAATTAAATAAAAAATCCTCAAGCTGATTTTATGTAGTTTTAATTTGTATTGTTAATTATTATTACTGATAATTATTGAAATAAAATTAGCAAGACATTTATTTATTTAATCAAGCTTCTTTATTAAGACCGTCAATGATTAATTGAAGAGATATAGTAATATTTTTTGTTTTTATAAGTACTTGTTTAGATTTCTCTTTTTCTGCATAGTTAACCATAATTAGCTATTGCAAAATAACATTGCAATTTATCTATCCAAACTAAATAAGACCACTAGTATGCTATTTCTATAACTTTATCATTATCTTTTTAATTGGCCATTGCTGTGAATAAAAATGCTTAGTGGTTGTTTGTTTTCAAACCTAGACTAGACAGTTTTGAAAATATACTAATTTTGTACAAATTATCTGTTCATTTTTACACAGACCTTTTTATAATGACCGAGTTTATAATTTATTGCGAAAAAAACAGATAAACACGTATAATAAGTAGTGAGAAAATCACTAAAATTAGCGTGAAAAATAATAGTCGATTAAAAACATATTAGAGTAAGGGTCTTATCAAAGAATTAGCTAATTATTTATGTATATTTGCAGACCTAGGTCACGCAAATATTTTAAAATTGCTTATCACAAAAGTGATGTCATTTTGTGGCAATACCAATATGAATTTGTCCTAATTTTTTTTCGTTACAATTTACAATCTGGGTCCTCATGTTTTTTCATACTTCCGCATTACAGTAGGTACTATTTTAAACGGTAAAATGTATAGGTAAGCCAAATGTTTAGAAGTACCTAGGTTAAAGTAACAGGTGTTGGAATTCACAAGTTGATACTAAATTTTCTGGAGCTGGACATACCCCTCTCTCTTCACAATAAGGATGTAAAAAGATTTCTCGACTGATATTGGTTGATTTTTTTATTTTTCAATTGTCTAGAAAAAAATATTTGAAACTTCACTGTTTGATTTTATCAACCAACTTTTTGGTAGTGAAATAAAATCTAAGGGAGCCAAATCGTGTGAGATGTTCTGAGGAATTGGAGACTTCCTCGATCTACCTGTCTGTCCAAGGCAGCTCATCTACATGTGAGGTTTAGAAAGCGAAAGCTTTATTATACAAACAAAGTTATTCTTAGTATCAAATCTTTATAGTAACTTCAGCACACAACTCTTCATAAGAAGGGGTTATTTATCTCTAACTGTTCTCTCATTCTATATGCAGTGCCCTTGTGGTTTAACAGGTTTATCTTCACCCACGTACTATAAGTGACCTTAAAAAAATCATAAATTATTGAAAACATAAAAAATTAACAAATATTATACTAATAATGTCAATAAAACATTGAAGCAATAAACGTAATCAATTATTTATTCAGGCGAGATTGGTGTTCACCCACTGATTAATAAGGAAAAATTTATAATAAAAATGGAAATAAAGCTATAGTACTTAGCATTTAATAAATTACAAGAAACTGGTTGGTATGCACATCCCAAAGAATTATTATTGTTTAATAATGGTAATAAGCTAATTATGTTATTGAGAAAAATGATTTTCTGCATTAGGAATGCGGTAGAGAATCCCCTCGAGTAACTCCCGGTGTCGGTAGATAATTTAATAGAGTGATTAATATGTAAATTAATTAAGAGCTTAAAAAGAAACCTTTAACCATTTATTTCTTTTAGCTTGTAGGCGTTTGCCGCCTACCTATTTCACATACATATAAGAAGTGCGTATTGTTTCAGCTATTGTTACGTAATGGACAATAATTATTTTCTGCAAACTTTAATTAGTTTGCAAAAATAAATAATGTTGTCATCTTAACTTTTGATAGATGCGGATATATTATGAAGACAACTTGACAGGTTATTTAACTTCCATTATGTTAATGAACACCCATAACCTTCCTATATAAAGATACAAACAGAATTTTCATTTTCCTCATTCGTGACATCTAACTTGAATCGCGTCAGGTGCAAAAATTAATCATCGATTGGGTAATTAAACTTCGATAAACTCTGCCATCCGTGTCAAAGTCAAGGCCAACAATAGTGTTTTTAAAAATGTATTATTTGAACAACATGTGATGACTTCGATTTTAAAATAACTGATCATCGAAAAAAATACCGCTTTGATCTTTTGAAATGCCATCGCCGCTCAAAAAACTCGGCATGCTTTTCACATTACCATTACCGCTTTTCATACATTGTTTTGATCTTGCCTAGTAATTAGATGTTGGTATTTGTTCTGAGTCAGCAAATTGATGAGACAACTTTTAAATTTGAATTTTTCTTTGATCGTTTACATTAAACGGTTGACGTATAGGCAATCAATATATTATTCTGGCTGTAGTCACTGTCACAGAAAAAATGATATGTACAATGTACAATCTATTATTCTTCTCCAAGTTCTCCATCTCCATGTTCTTCAGGTTCTTGTTGCCCACAACTTCTAGCTTGTTTTTTAAGCATTTCAATAGTGTTTCCAAAAGCAAGCAAATTGTTTAATGTTTCTACGATAAGACCTCCAGGAGCAGTGTCTCTAGGATTTTTCTAATGATTGTTCAGAGCAGTCACTCTATTTCTGATCTCGTCACTTGTTGTTCTTGCCTTATTGTTCTATTCGAATGAGAAGAAACACAAAACACAAAAATCAGACAAGACAAATGCATAAATAATACAATGAGATGCAAGTTTTAATTGCTTTTATCTAGATAAACAAATGTAAAGTTATAGTAATTATTGTCGATAAAAAAAATCATGTCAAGATATTTAAATAATTTAAACAGCATTAAATTGAGCTTAAATTTTAATTTAATGATTATTAACAGAATATTTTTAGTTCTCACCTGAGGTCTTTCAATAAGACCTTCAGCCCCTGTAACATAATTGGCAAGCTCTTCTGAACTGACCAATCCCAACATAGAATTTATCCAAGCTAGCAAATCCCTATGATCCTTGAGGAATCTTTGCAAGTCATAGGAGTCGAACAGTTTTTCTTTGCGTGAATTAGCCTTGGCAGTAAGCTGCGTCCATAACTCGGTAACTTCATGTTGTTTCTGTAAAGTTTGTTCAGCCTTGTTCTGGATGGGATTGTTTTAGTCTGTTAGCAGTGTCATCCAGTTGTTTAATCTTGTCGCCTAAGGCAGGCAGATCCCTTTCCTAGCCTTCATGTTTCCTATGCAAAGCTTGTACACTTCGTAAATCTTTGGCTAGATCATCATTTTTAAGCGCCTCGTCTTTTTCTTGGATCCAATATTTCGTTTCATCTACATCACGATGGATTCGTTGAACTTCGTGAGCAGATCCCAACTGGCTAGCTCTCTCAAAGGTTAACTACTGCAAACTTGTCCATTTTGTATTCAAATCATCCATTTGTGTTCTGATTCTCAAAGCGGCTTCAGTTTGTCCCAAAGGCACCAATTTCATGGCGATTTCGTTCATTTCTGCTAGAAGGGCTTCGTTTTTTGTTTTGGAAATCATCAAATTTCTTTTGGAGGACTTCAACCTACATGAGAATAATGCATATCAAAATTTGTATCATAATGAAAAAGTATGTCCTCACCCACCTGTTCTAAATCTTCTCCAACATCTTGTACTTGAGCATGCATCCCCTTATCCTTAATACAATTGACCACTTCGGCAGCTTCTCTAAACAACACATAAGCCTTAACAGTTTCATTAAGTTCATCTGACGTTCTTGAGCCAAATCCAAATGCCTATCATACTTAGTGTTGATTTGTTGCTGACGTGCAGAGATGCTGTTCTCAATAAGATTTTGTTGAGAAGCTGTTAAGCCAGCGTCGACTTTCTTGACTTAGGCTGCTGGTAAAAATCCTTGACGATCGTCTATTTCAACTTTCCACCAATCTTTGTTGTTGGAATTCAGTAGATACAAGAGATCACCTTTTTTCATTGACACTTTTCTGGCTGATTTTTCAGTGTAATCGTACTAAGCCTGAATAGTTTCTCTACCAGTTGCGTCGACTACAGGAAGTTCTTGGGGCCTACAGCTTCTAGTTTGTTCTTTAAGTGCTTCAATAGTGTTTCCATAAGCAATCAAATCGCTCATTAAAGCATCATGCTTCTTTAATAAGGCTTCAGAGGAATCCTCGTCTTTTCCATAATCTATATTAGCCACAATAGGTTCTTTTTCTTTCATCCAGGATTTGGCCTGGTTGGCGTCAGCATAATATTGATGGGCTTGGAGGGAGTCTTCCAAATCTTGTTTACGTTGTTGGCATTTTTTTTAAAAGATGTTCCCAGTGGTCATTCGAAGCAGTCACTCTGTTTCTGATATCGTCACTAGCGAAATGTTCATCTTCATTTCATTTGTCTGCTAGCTTCTTCAACAGCAATAATTATTCTTCCATCGTGATTATGAATCTCAGCAAAAACATCCAAAGGATTTTTAATGAAATTTTGAGCTTTAATTGAATAGCGACCTCTATTTAGTGGGAGCAGCTATTGGCTCGTTTTCACGAATCCAAGACTCTTTGTCTTCAGTATCATGGAAAAGTTGTTGGACTTGCAAATAATTTAGAAGACGTTGTTCTGTCAGATAGTACAGTAGTACAAATAAGCAAGAAAAATAGGCTGTCAAACTAATTGCAATACAATTTCTGCGAGTGGTTTCCTGATGAAAATTTTCTGTAGAAAACGATGGTGGAAAGTTCACCACTCTTTGATGCGTTTATCCAAAATGGCGAATTTTCCGAAATGTCTGACCATTATTAAATTTGATACATTATACATAGATTAGAACTTGGAATTGATAATCCAGTCCGTGAACGATTAACAGAATAAATATCCTCCTGGACAAAATTATCGCACCACTGCACATAAGCATCACCAAAAGCAGTGGTGCGATAATTTTCTCCAGGAGTATATTCATGATTATATGAAAGTAGGCTACACACAGTTTTAACATTTTTTGGGGATTGGGCGCGTGCGGTGCATGCATTTTGGGAAAGCTTTGATACATGTAGCTTATTGCTTGTTTCCTGGGCAGCATGTTTACATATATTCGAAAATATACCAAAAACTCATTACATACTGCCCCAGAAAACAAGATACTTGAGTCATAGCTTCCCCAAATTTGATGCACCGCACGCCCCTGTGGGCTATATACAGTATTATACCATTTGTGAATAATAATTGTAATAAAAAACATTTACTTAAAGTTCATTCATTTAAAATACTTCTGAGTTCAAAATATTTGTTTATTCATTTACAATAATAATTTTCTCTCAATTATCGTCCATATCCACTTCCATAGAATTGCAGCTGCTCATTCCTCTGCAAACTGTGCACGCATCTGAACACAGTATGGTTTGTTGTTTGCATACATATACATTGCAGACTTGCACATTGACCTTTGATACAGACACATTTTACAAATTTCAGTAAATGAGCTGGTGCTGGTGCTTGACTCATTCTAATAGGAGACAAGCTTCCATCCTATTCAAATCCCCACTTTAATGGATTCATATCAATACCCATCCACTGTTGCACTTGATGATATACCCATACCCCGAAGGAATTAAATTTGCTTGCATTCTCTGTAGGAGGCAAAACTTGACATGGATTGCTGATTTTGTTGCCTCTGAAGTTTGTATGCTGTCTCCTGTTTTTCCTCCATATAATATAATGGCATTTGAGATTTCTTCTGTGGATTTTGGAGAAGTTTGGAAAATGTCACTTTCTTTGAAGGTGTCTGAATTTCTTAGCGGTTTTATGAAGTCACTTTTTCCTGATCCAATTGGTTTCGTGGTAATATCACATGCTGCAGACGTCACTACTCTGTATTCGTTTACAATTTTTCTGATATCATAGATAGCTATGGTTTTGGAAGATTTGTAGGCAATAATAGTTATAGGATGACTTTTTGTTGACTCTCTAGCTTCCATAATGATCAAAACGTCTGCATCACTCTGAGATTGTTTTGTTTTACACCCAGCTTCGTTCTGATAATTGTGCAATAAATGGCAATGGAGGTTGAAGTAGTGAAATTTACTGTGCGGTAACTACCACTTTAATGCACTAGTGTTTATAAAATATCTTCAGCGCACTAGTGCGTGAAATGATAGTTACCACACTAATTTGTCCTAGATAAAATTGACTTGTATCCACAACTCGCGTGGTGAGGTTTTAAGCGCACGCAAAGTGAAATTTGAAAAACTCTCCTGCGGCTCGTTTTGTAAACTTCACTTTGTTTGCGCTGAAATCCCACTTGTCTCAAATATTAGACAGCCATTTTGAACATTCCTCCATTTTGAATAAACACGTCACTTTTAGAGTAGTAGACTTTTCGCCATCGTTTTCTACAGAAAATTTCCTTCAGGTAACCATCACTCACAGAAATTGTATTGCAATTTGTTTGAGGTTCCACATCAATTTTACTAGGCTAATAGCCATTGATGTCAATTCTGTCTTGGTGAAAAGCAACATCGGATTCTAATAAAGAATACTTCTTTTGCGAATTTCATGCATTAGCCAAATCCTTTCCATAATCCTCAAACATCAATTATAGTCCTTCAATTTTTATTGAGTTTTTGATTTTGACTTGCTTCTTGAATTCTTCTTGTCAGTTGCTGGTACTGTATTTTCCCAAAGCTTTACGTTCTTTTTCCATACGGAACTAGATTCTTGGAGCAGCATTATGATTCGCTTCTACTAAGTCTTGGCTTGTAGAAGTAATATCCTCCGTCATTCTTGCTACATCATCAGCTGCATAGTGTCTACCATCAATCTGAGCTTGTAATGTTGCTTGGGTAGAGGGTCACCAGAAAATAAAATACTGTTAATAAAATCTTGATTTTATTAACAGTATTGTTGGAGCTTTGGCGAAACACTTGTGTTTTCCAAAAAATCCTCTAATAACTTGCCAAGTATTTTTCGATTTTTCGAAAATTTATTTTCGAAAATCTGATTTTAAATCTTGATTATATTGCTGGACAATAACTTTCAACATGCACAGCTTTTTTACAATCTAAAACTTCTACTACATTCATGGAAACTAAACAATTCAACTAATTTACAACAACAAAGAAACAATAATTATTGGCACAATCAATCCCGTCGCAAAGCAACCTTTTTTCACAGAACGTTCTGACAATTTCCTAGGCGTTTTCGGATTGAAAGACAGGGTCGTCCAGGATGTCCCAAGTGTGATGTTACCTTCTACCCCCCTGGCCTCGAACTCGCCTCGAGGAGGGGCCAGATTGGTCAAATGGATTCACCTTCTTTTTCGGAGGTCTTCCTCGTTTCCGTATTGGTACCACTGGAGTCACTTCAAAGGTCCCATGTACAGTCGCTAAATCTGATACATGATATTATATCCGTAAGGGTATTGCTGGTTCTTGTATGTCCGCAACTTCATAACTTACTGAAGAAACTTTCCTCACTATTTGGTAAGGTCCATCTCTTTTAGGGTTAAATTTCGAGGTTTTCTGTTTAGCAGCACTGTTAAGGGTATGGTATTCAACACATGTTCACCAAGTTTAAAGGGTTCTACGGCTCTTCGATTTTTATCGGCGTAGTTTTTTTTTTGATAATCTTGTCGTTTTTCGTTGATATCTCGAGCTTCATACCATGTATTAGCCATTTTCATCAAATGAGGGGTCATCTGTGGTACAAAATTCTCATCATCAACTATGACTCGAATATCATTTTGTAGGTCATCAAGGGTCCGGAGTTCCCGTCCAAAATTTAAATAGGATGCAGTATGACCTGTTGCATCACAATTCGCAGTATTCATTGCAAACCGAATTGTTGGTAGTTTTCCTAGCCAAGTGGTCTGATTATCCCCCATTAAAATTTGCAGTTTGGGCTTCAAATCCCGATTTTTGCGTTCAACCATATTCGTTTACGCATAGTACAATGGAATTAATTTTCCCTTGATGTTTAGCACCAAACATACTTGCTGCATGAGAGATGTGACGAATTGTGTCCCGTTATCACTAATGATTTTCCTTGGCAAACCAACGTAAAAATTCATAAATGAAAACACAAGCACATTCCTCTCCCTTTGCTTTCTTTATACTGAAAAGCTCCACCCATTTAGTAAAGCTATATCTTCTACTATGAAAATCCATTTGTTGCCACTAGCATCTTCTAGAAGAGGTCCAAGTAAATCGATGTAAAGTGTTTCAAATCTCTGAGCATAGGATGGCGTTTGTACCAAACCTGCTGGCTTTTGATTTGAGGCCTTATACCGTTGACACTCGATGCAATTCTTCTCATATTCCGTCACAAAACTTCGCATTCTAGTGAAATAATAACTCTTTGCTATCCGGTGTAAAGTTCTTTCAGCGCCGTAATGAGCCGCTGTTGGATCGTTGTGATAATTCTTCAAAACTTTTTCCCGTTCATGCGTCGGGATAACAAGGGGCTTCCTCAGTGTCCGCGTCTTCTTAGATATATCTGTATAGAACACACACATACCCTCGATCGGTCTATTTGGAAAATTCATCACTTGACCTGTCTTCGAATCCTTTAATAATTTTTTTCCAAATCAGGGTTCTTCAATTGCTCGTTTCGAATGTCAGATGCTGCTGTGATCGTCACGGCATTTCTATCGTTACGGTGCAAATGTCACAAAACTTCTTGG